ACATAAAGGGAAATCATTAAAAAGCCTGCTGGACATAGGCAGACCCTGCAGCTTGCCCTCATTCTGGCTCTCATGCACAGTCCATGCTGCCCCACTTCACCACCCAAGATCCCCATAAGGCTTATCTTGGACCATGCTTTTATGGAAAGGTCTGGTAAGTATATTCATGGCCTTATTACTGTCTCCCCTTTCTGTGTTTCATCAGACCTGCTCAGCCTCATGTGTAAGGTTACCATATTCAGGCACAATCCCATAAAGGGGAACTCAGAGTTTGCTCTCAAAGCACGTTGAGAGTGGCATCTTACCCAGGGCATCTTGTGCTCTGATGTCCGCTCCATTTTCTATGAGCAACCGCACAATCTCCTCACTCCCTCCACAGGCAGCAAAGGATAAAATATGCTCCCCTGAAGAGCAAGGAAACAGAGTGCAGAAAGTTAAGCCCAAGAGTTGGGAGAGGAGGCAACAACAATCCCAAGCAAAGGCACTCTTTCCTCCACCCCCAAGAGCAGTGTGCTTTGAAATTCCTCTACCCACTGCATCCAAAAGTGCTTTGTAGAACTACCCCAAAGGGAAGGGAAAAAAAGAAATCAAGAAGCTCTGCCAGGGTGAGGGGAAAGGAACAGCAGGTGACACAAGGAGATGGATGGAAGTTTCACCTAAAGCAAAAGATCCCAAATGAAGGGCTCCTGCCCCAATAGTGGGACAGGAGATGGAGAAGATCAATGTCACCCAACTGGAGGGTGCTGGGTTAGATGGGTCATGCAGGAAGTAGCAAGCACTTTGAGGCTTAGTGGTGCAGATCCATGAAGCACTGGAACTCGATATAGTTTGCAGCTGGATCCTGGTATGAATGAGAAGACAGTGGGGCTGTTGGAGGAAGAGCAGGAGGAGGCAGTTGCCGTGAGCTAGAGGCTGAAGAACTGGGACTCCATGGAGTCACAGCAAGGGGCATGGTAGCAGAAACAAACCAGACTGAGCTAGGGTTTAATACTGGCCCTCCCATGGCCATTTTCCCTTGCATCTTCAGAAAACAAATGCACAACCAGTGTCTGCCCATCACCTTTTGGGACGGGGAAGAATTGATTAGGAGGAAAAATTAAAACAGCTAGGTTTGAACCACACAATTGCGAGAACCTGCAGAAAATAGAAGCCTTAACTGTTTACAAGTTCCACAAGGGAAATCTCCCAGGAAGGAAAGGAAATGCTTAGGTTGGTCTTAATTGAGACAGCTTGGAGTTAAGAGGGAAAAACATGACAATTGTAGATGTGCAGGCTTAGGTTTCAAGGAAAGGGAACTTCACTCTGTGCAAAGAAACAGTACAGTACCTGTGTAACACTTCAGTACCACTTAAGACCTCAAAGCAGAGCATAAGTGGGATGTAGAGGAGTGAATCAGCTTTGCAATTCACTATTCATGGGGGTGACTTTCACCCTGAGTGGACAAAATTGCTTTGCTGACAGCTCCAATTTCTATTGACGGCAGCACCAGTGAGGGAAGGATCAGGACCAGTGGATTTTGTTAGAAAAATCTCTAGCTAAATCTCTCTCTTTTAAACCAATCACAGGAAGAGATTAGTGCCCTTCTTTCTGAAGCTCTCTTGCTTTTCCCAATCGGCGATTAAACAATGGCCCAGCAGCAGATTTTCAAGAGAATATTAAATACCCTCACTTGAACTTGGCAAGTTCAAGGATGCCAAGTTTCTATGGGAGGGGATTTGAACTCTAACAGGAGAAAAAGTGGATTAGGAGAGGGGAATTCTATGCACCTGTCCTCTGTGCCCATGGATGCAGACACAGACAGACACGTGCATACACACAGACATGCACACACGTCTTTCCAGGATTTTTCAAATTCTCCTAAACTGAAATTAATGAAGGCTCATTAAAAAAAGGATAGTAAATTTCCCTCTGACATGGTTTAGTTACCACCAGAAACAGAAGCTTAAAGCCTCCCAAGAACAGAGTGGGCCAGGGAATCTGCTGCCATAAAGCAATAGAGTGCTACTGGAGAAAACCACGCAACTCTGAGCTACATGCACTGAGTGCCAGAAATACCACTGGAGAAATAGGTTGTGGGATTAAACAGTGGGAAAGTCCTGTTTCAGTCTAGCCCAATCTGTGGTGCAGAGGACTCCCTGCCCTGCAAGGGTAATTCAGCTGAATAGCTAGGGAAGAGAAAGCCCTGCTGGCCTGCAACTTTGCTGGATTTGTAGGTTTTCAGTTAGGGACCTCTTATGTCTGCCTATCTTGCTACTAGCAGGAGGATTTGTAATATTGCAAGGGTGAGCTTGGTGCATGAGACAAACCAGTCTCCTGTGTTAAGGAACAGCCTCACTTGTCACCAAGTACACTGCAAACACTTCTGCTCCACCTCTTTATTGCCCTCCAGCACTTTCTCTCTTTCTAGGTTTGAATGACCCCTACTTAAAGATTTCTGTTAATCTTCTGGGAGAAATACTTCACAGCCTGAGGTCCTTGAACTTATGGATTGTGTCCTCTTATTTCACTTATACTTCCTCACTGTAAAAAATGTCTCTGTTAGACACCCTGCACTCTTTTTAACAGTTCCTTTCCTTCTGTGGTTCAGGCTTCTTGAGACAATGAGATGATAAAACCTGGACGCTAGAGAGATGAAGGGATGAGAGAGTGGATGGGCAAGTCAGTGTGCTGAAGAAAAAATGAAGCTGCGCACATACTGTGGCAAAGTCCTCTGGTTTCTTCAGCGCTGCACTTCAGAAAGAGTGAAACTCTGTGGCAGCTTCAGATCGTATCCTTTTAGATGGAGGCTTTTGCTGAATGAACAGTATCATCAGCTCAGAGCCCTCTGCATTTTATTCCATGGCTAGACTGAGAATACCTTGCTGACACTGACTGTCGTCTTTCTCTATGGCAGTGGGTTTCAATGTTTTTAGACTCCAAGCACCCCTTATTAGATTTAAGGCACTGCTTGGAAAATGTCAGCTCTAAGCTTTCACTTATTTTTTTGACTATGGAAAAATAAAAGAGCACTTCTCCTGTTGCAAAGAACTCAGAAGGTCTACAACAGGTCAGAATAGTTTTGGCATTATTGATTCCTGTTTGAAATCTCTGGGATTGCCCTGTGAATCATGTGTGGCACCACTTCACACCCATAAAAGGATCTCAAGGCACCACAAGGCTCTGTGTTACCCTGGCTGAGAATCACTGCTCTATGGGCAGGCCTGCTGAAAGCAGTAGGAATGTCTGTCACAAGATACTGCTCACTAAGAGGAAGGGACTTGAACAATCTGTCCCTTTGCAGTTCAGTTCTGTTTGTGTTTCAGTGCCCTTTGGTTGTATTACCATCAGCATGCTGCCTGATTCTGTGTTGTGTGCCTTTGTTCACTGGTGAGGCTGTTGCAGAAAAGCTGGTGGTTTAGATACTGGGGGTGTCTTGCGTGTGAAGGGG